CGCTCGGTTGGCCGGGGAGCGGGGGGGTGCGCGTGTGGGCGTGGGCGGCTGGGAGCCTGCGAGGAGCTGCTGCGAGGAGAGGGGAAACCGCGTAGGCAGGGCCCGCGCGCTGCGCCGCCGAGTCACCTCAGAGGTGTTGGTGCGAGCGGGCACTGCCCTCCCGCAGACGGAGCAGCGCGGTTCTTAGCGCCTTCTTCTCACGCCACGGTAACGCCTGCTCCTTCATTCACCGAGCCGAGCACAGTGTCTACACGTTACCTATCTCAAAGGTGAGTTATCTCCGGAAAATCCTCTCCTCCCCGCATACAGCAGTAACTGAACAAGCGAGGTCTGATTTACATTGCACACACGAGTGAAACTGCACAGCTCCGCCGCTTTGAATTTGAAGTCACCGAAATTAAAGCAAGTGGCCTAGCGATGCTGGTATCTAGCAAAGAAATACATCAAATATACATCTCCAGAGAAAAAAACCCAAGAATAGAAAGAGTTCCGCAACTTTTACACAGCCACATAGAAAAATCAAAATTTGGAGACGATGTATTTGCTTTTAAATTGTATCATCGATCAGAGAGGCAACTGCTAATGACTGACCGAGCATTAGTTCGCCATCTTGTCCGTCCCCCCTAGTCAGCTGAGACACCAGGTGAAGCCGGCTCAAGGCCACAGCAGCATTATGCCTGCTGACATGGCCCGTGGCAGCGCTGCCGATGTGACAAACCTTCACGGCGCAGAACACAGGGACGAGAGTGGCAGAGGCTGCCTGAATTGGAGACGAGCAACTTGGGCTCCCTGCACAGACTCCTCATCTGTAACAGCAGCTCACAAGTCCCCCCTGGGGTACACAGCCCTCAGGAAGAAGTTTGAATCCTTTAGTAACTGCCGTGATGTTTTCTGACCTCTATATTGACAACTAGCTGTACAATGAATGCAATACGGTTTACTTTTAGGGTAGGGGGAAATACAACTTATGTCTACAGCTCCATTCGTGCTGCTACCAAACATACTTAAATTCAGCTTAGCAGTCTTTTTCCTCTGAGACCCCTTATAGGATGCTTCGAATGCTACAAAAATACAGCATTTGAGGTTTTCCACTATTCTTATTTTTTTCTAAACACTCTTACTACTCTGAGATACAGCATTCTCCAAATGCAGAAGTTTCCCTTACCATGAAAGGGACTTCACTTAAAAGCCACAACATTGTTTATAAAAAGAAGTGAAAGATCAACTGCTTTTAAAGCATGGGATCCTGATGAATTTCTGAACAGCTCCACAGTTGCCATTAACCTTAAAAACACCGTTAGCTATTTTAATGCGTTATGTATATCCATTTCCATGATAGATCATCATTCAAATGAGGATTTATTTCAGCACATTAATGCCTAAAATACCTGTCATATATGCAACTATGGAGTGGGGGAGTTGGCATAAATGTAGTTATCAGCGGTAACCCATTTGATGCATTTTCTTTCCTTACGCCGCCCGCCCAACCACTGCACTTTTCCCAAAGGAACAAAAATATCTTAATCTCAGGCTGGAGATCTGCCTCCGGCCTCCAACCACAACACTCGCACAGACTCCCCACCTCAAATTTGTAGGAGTGGTGATTAACACACTATGCGGCCCCCTAAAATCTGATATTCTCAGACCAGCCTTATAAAGAGCTCCCTGGGATACAGCTAGTGTGTTGGAAATGGTTCCTCTGATCTCACTTTCTCACAATTAGCTCTTCATGCAAAGAACAACAACAACAAAAATCAGCTGTACAGGCACCGCCTAGAAAACAGGCTGCTTTGGCCGCTGGGTCATACTAGCGGCAGTTAGCTGGCCAAGTAAGAGACCAAAAAGTCCATGTTCACTTCCAAGTTAGGAGTGAGAGCTCAAAGAGTACATGAAGATTTGACTGATAGAAGTCAGCAAAACAAGGCAAGCAGCACGGGAACAGCAATCCACCCCCCCAAATGCCTTATAAATAAAAGGCTTGAGGTAAGCACTGGGGAAAAAAAAAAGAAAGGGGAGGGGGGAATCTATCAGCATACCAACATGCTTGGCCAACACTCTCAGAAACAGATTTAAAGTTTATTGTAATAAAGTACTTCAAAAACAAGTTTACTACACCAAGATACAAAGTCAGAGATTTTTGCCAACCCACAATATTGTTCATTGATCCGTGAAGATTTATAGTTTGTAGTAGGCATCAGTGTTATTATAGGAAAAATAAACCTAGTCCTGTTTGCCATAGCATACTAACAATAAAATCCCGGAGAAGAAAAATGAAGTAAAAAATATACCACAGAACCCAGGACAAAGGTTGCATTTTACCACTCTATTTTGCTAATCTGAAAAGCTTTCAGCTTGTAATCATGGTAATGCTACTAATGTTCTTGTTCTGTCAGAAACAGCCAAGTTCAAAGAAGTCTTGAAATTGTAAACAAGAGTACGTACCACTAGGGGAGTGATCAGCATGCAATTTCTATTCACTTTGCTATTAAATGCACTACTTAAAAGAAACATAACAAGAGGCAAAAAAAGAAAATGAGGGAGGGGAATAAAGCTAACAATCTCGACCAAAAGTGAATTAAGAAATTAAGTGAGGTACTCGCCAAGAACTACTTCCATCTTAGCTTAGGGGTCCAAATCAACATGCAGTCCTAAATAATGAACTCAGCACTCCAGATCCACATAAAAGAAAGTGTTTTGTAGAAGTAATACTTAATACAGTTCAACAACCACACCCAGAGTTCAGTATTAGTCTAAAACAAAGCTGTCCTTATCCGAGATCATTACCTAGGTTTACTGTATTCAGGCTATGTATGACAGATTAACAATACCTGGACAACCACAACTGTGGTGTTTGCTTATGTTAGAAGGGATTAATTCACAAATGAAAGGGTGAATGAGTTAATTCAAAACTAATGACAGAACATTTCAGAACACAGGCATCCTTAGAACAAACTGCTCATTTAATGTGTTCCCGTTGGCAAGGAGAAAGCAGGTTGCTTAGGTTGTTGACAAACAACAGTTCAAACCCTGCATGCTGCTGCCTTGTCTTGTACGTTGTCCATACGCTTTCTGAAACAGAGACTGTTTGTGCTTATACAGCACCTGGCAGAACCCAGTCCCTCCTCATTCATGCAAACCTTATCATTTTAAAAATTAGCTACTGTTGCATCACGTAACATGCCCCACATCAGCAATGTATGACATTGATTAAACCATACTGTGTTTTTCCCAATTGTATATTTAACACATTGAATCTCATACAGATTTATGAAGCGTTTCCAGGTAAAGTTAGATGAGCAGTTAAGTAGCCAATTCAAGGAGCTGCCAAAGCACAGCTTTAGTTATCGTACCAATGTTCACAATGGGTATGTGCCTTGTTAGTGGATCCCTTACAACTTCTGAAAACAAACTTTTTTTTAGAACACAATAGACCGATCTTTTCTTTTTTTTTTTCCTTTTAAATACTTCCATCAAAGCCTTGCACCAATGAGAATGCTAGTGAAAACAATCCAGATGGTCCCAAACAAGCACCAGCAGTGCTGTTCTATGGTTCTCTCTTCAGAAAACAGCAATTCAGGGGCTGGAGAGAAGCACAGAGCCTCTACACCCCATTCACTGGCTAGCTACTTCTCATTAACATCTGTGCTGACCCACATGGACCATAATACTACCACCTCAAAACAATCACCAAGAATTTGTATCTGTTTCGCAAGACAGCGAATGACAAGCTATAACAGAAGCAGGTATATATTTACATATATAAAGCACACTGCATCTGCACAAAGGGCCAGTGTCAGGGTGTCCTGGTTTCTGCTGGGATAGAGTTAATTTTCTTCCTAGTAGCTGGTGCAGTGCTGTGTTTTGGATTTAGGAGGAGAATGCTGATAACACACCGATGTTTTAGTTGTTGCTGAGCAGTGCTTATATGAAGTCAAGGACTTTTCAGCTTCCCATGCTCTACCGACTGAGAAGGCTGGAGGTGCACAAGAAGCTGGGAGGGGGCACAGCCAGGACA